TTGGGTGCCAGAGTTCAGTTCACTCTATTTTAAGGAAACTCTTACAAGAACTGAAAGGGACTCTCTTGACCAGAAATCTGTAAAATAGCCCAAAATCTACTGATAGATTTATACTTTTGGGGAATCAACCTGGAAAGATAATGCCAACACAAAGCACACTGGGTTTGGAACACGTTCCCATCCTATTGCAGAGGGGATGGTTAGAAAATGGTGGCACTACTGTCTCAATGAGACAGTGTGAAGACAGCAGGTACCAGCCAAGCCAGGCTTTTATCAGGAATCAGTTCTGCAGAGATCGCTGCTCACATGCGTGACAGCCATCCATTATTTGACCAAGGAAGAGAAGGAAACAGCTGATGTGCAGCTCCCAGGTGAGTCGGTCCATGAGCACTGACCCAGGAAGCCTCAGTGCCTCCCCTCCGGACTGGCAGCAATGACGGGGCTGGCAGCAAAAATACCACGTCTAGATAAATGACTTCATATGTCAAGACAAAGATACGGTTACACAGAGCTTCTTGAGGATACGGTCGTCAGGTTTATTTTTGTAGTTTTCATTACAGTCCAAATAACTTTGGCAGACTTAGAAAAAATAAATTTTCAGAGCTTTCTCCCATCGATGTCACCATTTTTAATTAACTTTTGCTGAAGCGGTCTCAAGACAAACGTTGCTGCAAAAGGACCAGTTCCTGGTGCACTGCTCTGAGCCTCAGTGCTCCAACGCCTTGCAAAGCCTCAGGGCAGCAGTGCCCGGCCCAGGCAGCCCCAGGCAGCACGGAACCTTTGCACACGTGGTGTGCAGACACAGCTCCAGATGTCCTCGGGACCTTCCACCAACACCCAAAAGGCGCAGGGAACGGTCGCCAGGAAGGAGCCAATGGAACATAGCTGGCAGCAGCTTTTATGCTCAAAGAGACGCAGAGCAGAGTGACATTTTTCCATGAGCTGCAGAGATCTGCGATGGGATCCTATTTTGAAAGGCTAAGATTTGCAAACGTATCCATTAAAAAGGGAGTGCCTGCATTTCTATGGCCCGTTTTGTCAAAAGCCCTTCGCAGACATTTGTTCATTATCACGTGGATGCTTTCATGCGTGGTTTCTGGGTAATTTTTAAAAATCCTGGCACAGGTTTTTCTACACAGGAAAAAATTCTGATTGTTGTTTAGTGCAAGAAAATCCTGTTTATATTACTACTGTGATTATAGCATCCTGGCCTCCTGTGGGTAAAGTCAGACTAAGGAACCAAACCCTGATGAAAGAGACTGGCACGGCATGGAATGTAAAGAACTTCTCATGAAAACTGAGGTTAGGAGGATTCAGAAACATTTAAAACCTTGAAGACATTCAGAAGACCTTTTCTCATTCTAAATTAAAGAAACCATAGAAAAGTACTTCATCTGAATGGCTTCAGTAGGTAGGGAACCATGTCCTGAGGTTACAGTAATGAGTACTTCATACACTTGAGCTCAGTAGATGCAATGCAACTCGGAAAGACAAGATCACTGCTAATTTCAAAAAGAAACACTTTCATTTGATAATTTTCTACATCTATTTAACCACTGTGAAAGAATCATGATGACTTACAAATGCAGAATTGCAGACCCAGACATAGGAACAGAAATAGCAGAGAGCTTCTATCACGCACAAGTGCAAAACAAAGAACCCGCGTTGGAGCTCAGTGTATTGCATTTGGCCTGCTGGAAAACATCTGCCATTTGTCAGGGCTACAGAGCAAACAGAGTCCTCTCCTCCTTGATCTCCAGCAATTAGGGAAATTCTGTTGTGCTAATTACCTGGAGAGACAAAGCAGGGAGAAGACAGATAGCAAAGTGACACTTGGAGACAACATTTACACCAGTAAAAATGTGGCAGATATTTCAAGTTGCTGGGAACCACAGAGCAGATGTTCCCAGCAAGATGGAAAAGCCCATCCACGTGCTTTAAAATGTAAAAATTATCATTAAAAAAAGTGCAGCAAGACAGCCTCTGGCATTGCTGAGAACGCAGAGGTATGGAGGATTTTAAGCCGTCAGTTCCCTCAGAACACGTGGTTTGGATTGCCCAAAATGGAGCACCGCGCCGTCCCACAGGCTGAAGCACCACTCGGCCCTCGAGTTGCCCAGCCGTTATTGGGAAATATTTGTCACATATTAACTGGAACATCAGATTACCACACTGAGTATTTAACACTGCTTTGTAACATAGACATACGTTCAAAAGCGTACGATAGCCTCTCATCATGGATTCAAGATGAAGACGGGGATACGCGTCTCCCGGCAGCCAGGAAATCAGTTTGGGCTCCTCAGCAATGTTGAGCACAAAGCCTCAGGAGGTACAGCTAAACAAAAAGGCACGCGGCCGCAGCAGGCACACAGCTGTGAGCAAGGAGTCTGCAAGCACCAAGGTTTAGTTTTGCTTTTAGCCCACCTCCACTTGCTCCTGAGCTGAAGGCTGCCCTAAATGCCATGTAAACAAATGCTCCTGCACCTGCTGAGATGTAGCTTATGGGGAAGGCGATGTGAGGACCCCATCCAGGGGGACAGGCTGAGTGTAATGCAACAGGGCGTCTCTGCACAGCTCACCAGGCCTGGCTCAGTGCATGACAACAATAAAAAGACTGAGCTGCTGCTGTGCTGCGAGCCAACATGTGGGGACAGCCTGTCCTCAGCCTGGCCAGCATCAGCAGCACGCAACGGCTGCAGACCCCAAAATAGCTGCAAGCACTGAAAATTGAAAGGCTCTGCTCCTCAGCACAGCAGGGCCATCATCTCCACCACCCCAACCTCACCACTACTGAGCCACCTCCACCACCCCAACCCTCACCATTGCTGGGCCACCTCCACCACCACCCCACTGCTCATCACAGTGGGATCAACATCATCTCCCCTTTCCTCACTGCACCAGGGCCCACTCTGAACCCACTGCTGCCCCCTCAAGACACCCATGAATGTATTCCTCCCACTCCTCACAGAAATTCCCTAACGATGAAGAAGCAAAACTGACACAAACTGTTCCTCTCCCCTACACCCCATCCCGCAATGTTTTGGTGAATAGATAAAGCAGAACAAATCTCCACGCATCCCTGTGAATCCCACAAATGCAGGTGCTGAGAGAAAACACAGAGACCTTTCTGAGCATCCCGAACATCAGAGACGTGGCAGCAGCTTTATTTAAGCTCTTTCCCTGTTGCTGTAATGTTTTATGATCGGGATTTCTCTGTGGCCCTGATGAAACGGCCGGGCCCCCTCTGCTGGCCGCCAGCCCCAGCACCTCAGCACCCATCCAGACCAGAAAGAAGCAACAAAACCCCAAAACAGACTGCATTTAAAGCAAAATGGGTCTTTTACAAAACAAACCCAGAGCACAGGGGAGCTGTGCGGGTCTGTGAGCGCTGCTCATGCTGGAAGAGGCAGCGGCTGCCACGGCTGAAGTGCCAGCTTCAAGTTTTGGGGTTGCTGGATCCTTCTGTGGAGCAAGCGAGCTGGGGCCACACTGATAGTTTGCAATTTGGCACCGAAAAAAGCATCGTGTGTAAAAGTTCCTTTGATTTGGTCCAAAATAGCTGTTAGATTTCATGACAGCTCCACAGCACATCCCCACCTAAGCACAGCAGAGGGGCCCAGGAGCAGCCATGGCCACCCCAAAGCTCCCTGCCAACAGACAAGCACTCTGCTCACAGATTACCTGGGCATTCGTTGCTAATGACTGTAACAAGCAATTCAACAGCACGTGGGAAAGCCTTCCCCCCTCTCTCTTCCCTATCTCTTGACCAGCAAACCCAGTGACCCAGAAAAGAATTGGGACCTGGCAACAAAAGAACTCTTAAATCTCAATTGCTTTCTGCAGAGCAAAGGAAAAGCTCCTTGACCACTTAATCACATCAGCAGTGCCCTCTGCATGGGCCCAGCAAGAGCCCACAGAGCCAATGGGCTGTGCTTCAGAGGGCAGGAAATAAATTTGTCCATCAGACTCCAAGGAACTGAAAGCAGCCCTGGTGTGGCCAATGTGGTTGGGTTCCAAGGCACACGGGACACCCACAGCTTTCCTCCTGACAGCCCGCTGGTGCCACTGCAGCAGGACACTGCAGAGAAGCATTGCTGATACATTTCCGAGGCCATTACATGTCATCTTACAGGGGAAAAAAACCAACCAACAGACACACATCTTTTTTTGTGCTGTAAGTATGGACAAATAACTGAGCATCCTGCTGTGATTCTTATCCAGGATGTCAGGAAAACGTCAGACATTTGCCTGCAGTGCTGCTGCATGCAACACTCAGGGTGGGTTTTCTCTTTAAAAGCACAACTGAATGATCTGCTGCTCACGGGGCTTTGTAGCAGACCACTGCATTCCCAACCACCAAAGCACTGCATATCTTTCACACATCTTTCACTACCTTCTGTAGGGAAAAAAAACAACAGAGAAGGTTGGAAGTGCCTCAGCCCAGAGTCATTCAAGCCATCAGTGTGACAGCACAGCACTCACTGAGTCTTGCTATAAATGAGATTCCTTTACAAACGAATCTAAGCTGTTTATTGTTTCCAAGGAGCATGCACTTCCACAGCAGAACAGGAAGTTTTGACAGTTTAAGAAGTTCATTAAACTCTGGGAGGAAATCTAAACAATCAGCGACAGCTTTCATACGGCAAAGCAGTGCCGGAGATGTCGCTCCCTCCTAACAGCAGAGAGGCTGCAGCTTTTAATTATCACACTTGCATTAAGCCACAGTGATTTTGTTACTGCTTCTAAATTGTTTTGGCCCAACACCCGGTGCTCACAACCGAGCAAAGCTGTTCGCTCCGCTGTTCATACAGCTGAAGATCCAAACCTCCAACTCCTTGATCTATATGCAGGCCATAGCAAGGCGGTGGAAGAAATCAACAGCCCCCCAACACGAGGCAGGGATTCAGCTCGGAGAAACATTTTTTACATGGTATAGGTGGATACAGAGCTGGCAGCTCCCAGGCAGTGCGGTGTGGCTGTGCTGATCCCTCTGCACTTACCTGGTGGGCACATGCAGTCGGACGGAGCCTCTCTCGCCGTCCGCAGCTTCGCGAGTCCTTCGCCCAGCTTCTGTTTGGAGAAGGAATAAGAACAGCCATTTAGGGAACACGTTCTATCTCACAGCATACTGTGTGTGCATACCAACAGCCCAAGCGTCCAGTGCGCTTCCTTTGAGGAAGACGGTTTCACCCTGCTGTGTTTAGCTTTGCAAGACAAAGCATAGAGCAGCACACAATATATTGAATGTTTCAAGCAATGACGCCCATTCTGCAAACCCCAAAGTCACCTGGGCCGAGCCCCATGGGCTGAATTTGTGCACATGCATGGGACAGTTACCAGTCGTTGAGCTTTCTCAGTGCATTTGTCGGCAGAAGCAGTGCTGCAGAGAACCCTGTGCTGCTCCACTGGCCAAAGGCAAAGTGATGCAAATGCTGCTCTGCCACCAAGCACAGCAATGCAGGTCACCTAGCAGGGGATGCTCACACAACACCTGATGCTGCTGATTTTGTATCTGTACTCACGCTACATGAAGCACTACGGTTCTCTTTAGGAGCGGGGTGAGGGGGTGATGGGCAGACACTGTGGTGCTCACACACCCCCAGATCCACCTCAAGACCAACACAGTGCCATCGTAAGGCGAAGAAGTGATCGGCGGGATTACTATAACAAGTATAAATTCCCCAAATCTGCCCACGTGGCATATTGCAGACAGATGTGAGCACATTCTGCCTGCTCTCTAAGCCAACCAAAATGTTCGTGCCTGCATTTAGGGCAGTGCCAAGTTGGAGTTACTGAGTCCTGATGACAGGCAAGTTATGTGAGCTGAGGCACAGTGCTCGTGGCTGGGGTAGCCCTGCAAGAGTAGGAGCAATTCCTCTTCACTCACAGTCATTACTTTCTGAGTCCTTTTGAATCCTCTGACTCACCCAAAGCATCTACCAGGAGAGCAACAGCAATCTGGTAACTGGAGTCTGTACTCCAACATTTACAAGAGAGAAAACTCATGTTCTTATTGAGCTTTGGGTGCTCAGGCTTGACCTTTATGCAGCTGATGATCAAGTCTGTGTTCAAATGTCTGATGACTGCAGACTATTCAGGAATTCAGCTACCTGAGAGCTAGATTCTGGTCCTTTATTCTGGAGATTGTTTTCTCTGTTGCTGAAATGCTGTGCATCCTTTTCGAGCTGCTTGAATGTGATGCATATAGATCCTGAAAGCATCCATGTGGTTTCACAGCACCAGACAGAGAAGCTGTCCTAAGGGAAGCATGAGAGCAGCACACACGCTTTGCTTGAGAGAAAGCAGCAAAAAAGTGATCTAAAGAGACTTTTATGACATCCACTTAGAATCTAACAAAGTATCACTGGAATTTTATATGTTTTAAATTACTTGGATGGCGAAGGTGCTCAAGGAAAAGAGAAGCAGCTCTGCCATTCTTTCATTCTGTAGGCACTGCTGGGAACACCAGGGGAGAGCCTGCCCTGTCCTGGATGCTGGAAGGAGTCCTCTGTTCTCCCATTGAATTGTTCTCCTCATGAAGCTGATTAATCCGGACACTCTCTGCCTACTGCAGACAATGAATCCTTTGTGAACAAAACGGTCTGGCTTTGTTTACAACAACTGGACGCTCCTCTCATCCCCACGTTAACTTTTTCACTCCAGCACAAATGTGACGCGCTCCGAATTCGGGCTTTTGCTGTGGACGCAGTGGAGATGCCACCACACTTTGGACAGCACTGCTGGGAAGGCTTTGGAGGCATCAGCCCAGGACCCTGCAGGGCTAAAGGAACACACGAGGGAAAGCAAAGGTCCTGTAACCCCAAAGCCGTCGTCTCTGTGCCATCAGATGGATGCCCATCACGAGGCTAGAAGTTTGACTGCAGTTGTCCAAATTGGCTTTCATACACTTAACTACACACTTACCCCTTCTTTATTACTTCCTATCCCCTCTTACTCAGCAAACACTTAAACAACACTCAAAGCAATGCAAACCAGCATGTTTGCGTTGCGCCTGCAGCTCTTCCATACATTGCACCCGCAGACCCCAGGAGCAGCACAGGCAGTAACTGTGCGCGCAGTGACGGAGAACAAAGTATGAGGGGTCGTGCACAGAGAGCATATGGAGCTTTGGTTTCACTTCTGAAATACTGTGGTAAACTTCAAAGAAGGACCAGAACGGAGTTTAACAAAAAAACTGACCCCAGGCATCGGCTGATGTTTGTGGCCATGGAAATATTCCCTCTCTCCCAAGAAATTCCCAAGCACAGAAGGACAGATGCTGCCCAGTGAGAGCCTTATGTAACGAAGAGGAATGTGACCACGATACAGATGTGTTCTCGACCTTTATCATAAATGAATAAGCTCGTTTACAGTGGTGATTAATAGCTAGAGCGATGGCTCCCATGCATTCCTTGAATCTGTTACCCATGATTTCGGCATTGACAAAAGTTTGGTCATACTGAACGTTTCAACAAGCTCGCTCTTGCATTAGAAGCCCAATTATGTGGTTTTGCTTTATTTTCCCCTGCACAATCTCCACTCGAGCGCTCCCAGTACAAAACAAGCTTTCCACACTTAACTAAATCTCAGCAAGAGGCTGCACATGATCTTAGGCAGTGCCACAGAAACCGTTCCCATTGCTAAGCACATTTATTGGCGTAACTGGAACAGAACCACGGCCACGGCCGGCAGGCTGGTTCCTGCCTGCAGAAAAAACGTTAACTAGATTTTGTGATTACGCCTCACAAGCATCCCTCTGTTCTGGCATTCAGGGCTTACACACACACACACAGTTTTTTTTGCATTCCCCGTGATCGAGATCCATCACAGAGTCCCGGGGAGTGGCGGTGTCCCAGCCCAGCTTCGCCAGGAGGTTCGCCTACAGAGAGGAACCCCGGGCGGAGAACAGCTCGTCAATGGGAGGAACGTGTCAGCATAGAAAGCTTTAGCGGTCGATTTCAGAGCTCTCGGAACCGGGAGGTGGGGACACAGACGGGCGCTGCTCCGCCGCAGCACGCGGCGCAGAGCGTGGATCCCGTCCGGGAATTTCTGACGAAGGAATTCCAGCCCATTGCGCCCGGATAAACGGCACTTCGGTACTCGGATTACCTTTGCCGGTGAATACAACGAGGGGGAAAGCGGCGGGGTCTCGCGCGTTAAACCTTTCCAAAGTGCAATGAAAACGAGGGGGGAAAAAAGTTCGGCGAGAGGGAAAAAGCAGCCGGGAAAGGAGGCGGCCGCCGGGGAGCCCCGAGCCGAGCCCCGCCGCACTCACCTCGCGCAGGAGCTGCTCCACGCGGGGCTGCAGCGCGTCCAGCAGCGGCCCGGGGCCGGCGGCGCCGCGCTCCTCCAGGGCGGCCAGGCGGCCCTGCAGCTCGGCGGTCTTAGCGCCCAGCAGCAGGCACACGGCCACGGCGGTGAGCGAGAGGAGCAGGCACAGCGCGGAGGTGGCGGTGCCCGCCGAGCCGCTGCCGCCCGCGCTCATCGCGCCGCGATCGGACCCGCTCGGCTGCCGGCCGCCTCCCGCCGGCGGCTCATCCAGCGCCCGCCCCGCCGCCGAAATGGGGCCGGCAGCTGCGGAGCGGCCGCTCTCCTCCGCTCTCGCCTCGCCGGCCCGAGTCTTAAACGGAGGAAGCGGGGGGTGGCGGCTCTCCCCTCCCCGCGCCGGGGACGGGGGGATGCTCCGAGAGCGGCCCGCCGCCCCCCGGGGGGATTACGCGGCGCAGATCCCACCCCCGCCGCCCCGCTCTGCCCTGCCCTGCCCGCCGCCGGCCCCCCGCGGGGAGCGCTCCCAGCCCGGGCCGGGCGGTGCGGGGCGCTGGGAGCTCCTCACGGCCGGGCCGCCCCGCTCCCATCCTGGCCGCTCCGCGCGGGGATGGCGCCCTCCAGCGGAGCTGCCCGCGGCGGCACTGCGACTGAGCGCGAGCCGTGAGTGCCGAGCGCGGGGAGCCGCTTCTTCTTGCACTTCTGATTTTATTCTGTTCAGCGGGGAGTCTTACGTTCTGCTCCTGTATAAACACTGAACACCTCCAGACTTGGCCAGACGTCGGCTTTCTCTGTTATAGATTGCAGCACTCCAACTCTTGACTCATTTATAAAACATCATCAGATACCCTCAGCTCATATGCTGCAAACAAATTAGCAAAAGATACACGTACTGCATAAGCAAGAGTACACAACCTTTCACTTTCTAATTCTGATAGTGCCGTTGTGTAGTTATTTTTACAGATAGAGCAGCATATATATTTTTCTTTCTCATCTGCCTTTGATTTGCGTTACTTATGCTGATACACTCAGCCAGGTGCCTGCTTTGCACCTGAGGAATGTGTGGGACAGAAAGCAGCGTGGGAGGATTCACACTGTCCTCCTCAATCCCACCATGCTCACTGCTGACCAGGTCCAAACCATTCAGTTCCATCCTGCAGCGAAGAAACAACAATACGAGCAGCCCAGGAAGGGGTTCTGGATGAGGGCACAGCTCCAAGCTCAGCAGGTGGCATTGCTTACAGAAGATAAGCTTTCAAAGCATCCTCCCAGCGACACAGTAACTGATAGGCACGTCTGGAGCCTCTTGCAAATTAAGACTGCCCCAGATATATGTGGAACAGACATCAGTTTCAAATCCTTCAGAGCTTTAGGACATACACATGCAAACACAAAACCTGAACTCGGGCTCCTGTGGCGCTGACACAGTTTGCAGTTTCTCTCAAGACAAGACTTACATGCTAAAGCCTGCAATAAATGGCCAAAATGTGCATACTGCATCTGGAGTGGTAGACAGCCAGGATGAGCCCTAAGCCCTCCACACTGCACCGAGGGCTGGAACAAGAAAACAGCTACTCACACGTGGAAGGGCAAAAGCTACCCAAGAAAATACAGCAGCACCACTCAGACCCTGTGCTCAGGAGTTACAAACGAGGACCCATCCTCACCCTTCCTCTATGACAGGCTGATCAGTGTTTCCCAGTTGCCAAAGTTAGTTGTCCATCATTACAGATCGAGCTCCACAGAAATACGTATTTGAAGACTTCAGGACCATCTGGTAACCACTGCAAGAGAAGGGCCTAAAGATGCCACAATGAATTCAGGGCGTATTAACTATCTCAGCCAAAAATGAGACTGCTGCACCTTCCAAGAAGTGGGTGAAGTTTCAAAGAGAAAACAGTTTTCAAAAATGAAAATTACTTTTATTTTTCACTTCGATATCCATAATCAAGACTACAACTGCTCAACAAGATAAACATGACAGTTTACAAAACAAAAGTATTTACAGACTTAACTGTACAAAATAACTTAAAAGTTTACAAAAGTTTCATGCAACCTTTGTTGACTGACACAGTCTAGGAAATCTCCTTGGAGAAGCATAAAAGACATTTGAATTCATTTATTTTTTTAATGGGTCAAAAAAAGGATGCTGCAAGGCTTCATCGAGAGTAATTCTTTTGGCTGGATCATACTCCAGCATCCTGCGAACGAGGTCAAACAGACTTTGATGATCTGTGTCTTGGCAATGCATGAACTCCTAGAAAAACAAACAAAGTATTTAAAAGCTCTTTCACATTTGGGAATGCAACAGAATGTCATGGTTTTATGCTTCTCGTCACTCCGTGACACGGGATAATCAAAACCTGCTCTCCTACCTTTAAAGGCTTACAGCGCCGCCTGACGTACCGGCCTGCAGAACTGTGTTCATCCCAGTCCAACTGGTTATGGTGAAAATAGTGCTTCCTGTGTGACGAGGAAAAGATGCTGTCACTATTAGGACTGCTCCCAGCTGCTTACACTCAGCTGAAGCTGGCACAATCTCTCACAACAGACTAGCAGCTAACAAGCCTGCAAGTCTTAACTGGAACATCTAAAATTTCTTTTACAATAGGAATACACAAGGCAACTTACTCCTTCTGTCACGTACTTACCTGGATTTCTTGATCATGTGAGCTGGCAGAGGCCCCAGTATTCTTTCCATCATTGCCAAGTGTTCTTTACTATCATGTGTCTGTGTTAAAAAAAAAAAAAAAGCAACATTTGCCAAAGTATCACTGCAGCATCTTCAGATTCCAATTGTTTTGCATGACCTTATCTCTGTAATGCTCATTAAACTAAATGTTGAGTATACGGCATGACAAGATCAAAGTCAGGAATCTGTAACAAAAACGTTCCACTTAACTTTACATGCATACCTGAAACACTGTAAATCCCAGGTAATACTCGATTAGAATGCAGCCAATACTCCAAACATCACAGGGTTGCGACCATCCCAGTGCTGCAAAACATGCAAAGTTTCTTTCACTTTTTAATATATGCTTAAAATCTGCAATCCATGAAGAATACATCCAGTTTTCATGCATCGTCTGATGCCTGCCTTCCCCATTCACACCCCTCCCCACCCTGGTTGGTAGGGAGAAGGAGGGATATGTCTCAAGTTCAAGACATGTTTCCTTCTACTTCAGACTTTCAAGAAGTCCCCACCTGTAAGAGATGGCTCAACTGTGAGAACCATGGGGCACCCCTCCAGTTTACTAAATAACGACATCAGGATGAACTGCAGTTATCTGCCAGGAAGTTTGAAGGCTGCCACTGACCTAAGATGACCTCAGGAGCCCTGTAATGTCTCGTGGACACCAGAGTGCTGTGATGTTCATCATCAAAAGTTGCGCTTCCAAAATCAACCACTTTTATGTCTGTGTTCTTTAAGGTGCGTTCATCTCGCTTCTGTAAGAGAATCCAAGTGCTGTTTGTTAGTATTTTTAAAAGCATACTCATACAGAAGATACCACACTACCCATTTAAACTATTTTCAGAATTCCAGTTAGCATAATTGTGCTAAAAAGGAAACTTCAGATGAAGGCAGAGTTGCAACGCTGAGAGAAAAGGCACACGCTTACCATTTTTGCGTTGTACTTCACTATGTAATCAGACTCCACAAACAGAATATTTTCAGGCTTTAAATCTGTATGAGTTAATTTATTATGATGTAAAACTGTAAGAAACAAAGGAAAAATATCCCACGGTTAACAGATTAAATTTACCAAAGTGAAAAGAAGAGAGCACATAAACACGTTTGATAACAGTAGTCAGGCTTACTTACAGTTTATAGATTGGCAGATTTGATAAGCCATATTTCTAATGTCATTAATATGAAATGGCAGAAAGCTGTTTTCCTTAATGAAATCATAGGTGCTAAGTCCAAGCAGCTCAAAAACAATGCAAACGTGGCCATGATGATCAAACCATTCCAGCATTTGGACACAGCGGCTTAAAAAAAGAAAAGAAAAAAGAATATAAACACACAGACTCATTCCTTTGGTGAGTTCTTGGTATGCTCCTCTCCATCCATACTTACAAAGTGCTGCTGGGATCCATGGTGTTCAAGTGTTCCAACACCTGTATTTCTGAGCGGGCTGCCTCTCGGTATCTACCAACATTTTTCACTATTTTAACAGCTACGTGCATTCCTCTCCTTCAGAACAGAGAAATATCACAAATAAAACCGGTTATCATTAAACATCTACACGGCCACAGCAGTCTAGTTACAATAAAATGAACACAAAAAATCAAAGGTCACAGCTGATTACACGCTGGATTAGGGGAAATGTGACTGAAGCAAATTCCAAAGGAAAGCTAGGTATTACTTTTTTTTTTTTTTAAAGCAGAAACAGTTCTTGTTAAGCTCATACAGCCACAGCATATGCTACATTTCTCATATGCATATGCAACTATTTCTCAGTCTTACACAGCTGATTCACTTTGAATAAACATCAGGAACCCACCCAAAAGATGACACAAAAACCTGCAAATCTCTCTTCTGAGAAAACAACTGCAAGAATTTGTCCATTTTTTGGCAGCCTACATAACTTGTTCCAGCTCTCAGTGCTCCTAATGGCATCAGTGCATTTATTTTATTGCAGTAATTCATTTTATTGTTTGTATCCTGAATGTTTTGTGCTCCTACAAGCAGATCTGCACTCAGTAGCACACTGAAATGCTAAGGATATTACTGTAAAGAACACAGCTACACTAAGTCCACTCTATCCTATTCTCTCACTGACAATTTTAAAGTGTCTCTGTACTTAGGAATACTTTCTGCCTTCTCAACATGATCTCAGGCTCCAGTAATTAGTCATTTGTACTATGCACTTAGTTTGTAAAGGAATACATATATATATACACACACAGAGACACAAACACACACAGAAAGGGCTGTTTTTGAAATAAATCCTTTCAGGCAGATGTTTCTCATGAAGAATGTGGCAAAGGAAATTTACTGTTAAGGACAGATTCTCAAAATCTCAGAGAAAAAGCAACCAAAACTATTTCTTTATATGCCATCTCATACAAAGGCAATACCAAGTGAGGGCTGCCACAGAGCAAAAGGAGAAACAAAAAAACGTTAATTTCCGAGCTGAGCAGCACCTTGTGGCACGAGAGCACTTGCTGACACTTACATATCATGATCTATGCACTCCACCACTTTTCCAAAAGCGC